AGGGCAAGGACTATGTCTGTATCTATTTTGTAAGGTGTTATGCAAACATATGGTGTTGTAATATCTAATAAATAATCATGAGTGCAGTAGCCTCAAACTTGGGCTGGGAGATGTTTTATAGCTGTGTGCTTGCTTTCTCTCATGTTAACCACACGTACCTGTGAGCATGCACACGTGAGCATATGTGCACCTGGAAGCACAGTGTACTGGTGTGTACTGGTGATAGTGGTAATGATGCAGAGGAAAAATCTGTCTTCAGACCGTTTTCTGGCAATTTTGTACCCAATTAACTGAAAATATTAAACCATTACATTAACAGGCCATGCACTATCATGCCTGTGTAATTGAGAGAGTAAAATTCTTCTGAATCAAAATTTCGGAAAACAAGTGAATGGTATGTTCTAAGCAATTACCTGCTTTTTAAACTGATTATGCATTTTTGCATCAATGGGAGGGATGAAGTCAGTTCCTTTGAAAATAAATAAATTAGAGGTTTTATGACTCACATAAAGGAGATGTGTCCTTGGTGATACTTGAACTTAGCATAAACCACCAAGCAAGTTACATGTATATTCTTAAAGAATTTTATATTAAAAGAATGAACAAAATCTCTTCCTCAGCCATGCCTGTTTCAAGAATAGCAGAACATTTTGCTCACTTGAAAATTCTATCATAGGGTCCTAAACCTGTGATGCCATGATTTAAAAGACACAAATGTTAGTAGAAGTGATACGGCCACTCTATTTTTCCACTATTTCTGACAAATGCGTTTTCCCCATAGACTAACAGTCAAATGACTGCACAGTTCTCTGATGAATTCTGCTAGAAAGAAAAAAGGAGAAGATGCATTTCCTCCATGGTATAGATAACTTAGTTCTTGTAACTGTGAGACCATCTGTGACTGTAGTCCTTGTAAAGCTTACCCCTCGTGCCTACAATGGAAATAGCCAGTAAATCCTCATTCAAAGGCAGAACTCCTTTGCTCCCATTTCTTCTTTAACCTGATCCTTATGTTTTCTTCTCCGTAGCAGAAACCCTACTATTAAAGCTCCAAAAGGGACTTCTTTGATCCTGGAAGAGAGAGAGAAGGAAATGAACACATTATCCTTAAAAAAAAATATATATATATATATTAATTGATCTTAGTAAATTTATGCTCAGTTGAAATGTCTGGGGGACAGCCACTTGGGTCTGGGCTGAACTTCAGTTTCAGGCAGCTGTTCAATGAGGTCCTCTTTCCCTGATGTTTTTGTTTTGCTAAGCTCACATGTGTAGCCTGAACCATTCCCAGAAGGTTTGCTGTGTTAATAAGGTGCATAGCTGGTCCTTCCCCTGCCTTTACCTCACACACTTCTTCATACTGGGAGGGGGCAATCACTTCCATCATCCTCAGTCTACTTCTAGAAACTGCATTGAAATTTGGCTGTTCCCCTGCAGCTCTGTTATTGGGGAGGGATAGTGGATATTCGCTTCTTGCTTAATGGTTAAAGAAGAGCAGATAGACAAATCTTAAAAAAGTCTGCATTAATTCTCAATATCTCAAGCAGCTTAAAAGCAATGATACCTTTTGGAGACTCATTTGTAAGGTGATTATCTTCATCTACATCAGCAACAGAGTGGAAATTAGTTCAGTCATTCTAACAACTATTCATAACTGGTTACAATGGCCCTGAGATGGCATATGTGACCTGGGAGATAGAAACTGGGTTTCTCACAGTCCTCACTGGGAAATTTTGTAGAACTATATGAAATAATCAGTTTTGTTATTTTGTATTGTTGTCTGTATGGCATGCTCTGACTAGGTCTTTCTGTACAACTCCCATTGGAACTAATGGAAGCCATATGTGCAGGAGAGAAAAATGGACTTATAAAGATATTTTCTTCATCTTAACACTGTCTTACTTCCTTCTCTAGGCACCTTAACAATGAACATGCATTGGATGACAGAAGCACTGCTCAGTGTCGGGTGCAAATGCAAGTGGTTCAGCAGTTAGAAATACAGGTTTGTTATATGGATGCATTATCCTATTACTTATTTACTGTTAACCTAAACTAAATTGAAAACACTTGCCTTAGTGACTCTAGCTTAAAGACATAAGTTTCTTTCATTAAATTTGTTGATATTCATGAACAAGTGAGGCTTTTTTACTTAAAGATTTTTCACATTATAAATTATGCAATAATTATCTAACATCAAGATTGTCTACAGTATTTTGCTTGAACTAAGACTCTAATGTCATTCAACACGAATGAAAAATGCAGTCCCTGGAGCAAAGACTGGATCCAAGCCATCTTCACTTTTTAAAATACTGAGTCAGGACCCCTCTTCCTTCTTCCCCTTCTGACCCAGTGCTTGTCTGTGCTGTTCTGCGGGATAAAAGTAGCAGAACATATCTCCACTCAAAATGACTCCCAGCCCGACAGGGGGGCCTTTTTGTACAAGGAAGAAGATGTAATGTCAGACCCACTCGGGGAGGTCCCCAGGGAGTGCCGTGTCTCGGACCGCCGGCCTGCAGTGCCCTGTGGTGCTGTAGCCATTAGAGGTCACTGCACGTATGCGAATGCTCCCTTCTGCCCATGCAGGGAGTGGGGAGTACCCCTGGGGTCTCCCGGTGTTGTGACTGCACTTTCCAGGCTGCTGAGGTTGGGCACAAGCCTCAGGGGTGACCGTGCAGGACACTTGCACCCCTCTGTCTCCTGCTGCACACACGGCAGTCATGGGAGAGGCATGTCTCAGCTGTCCCATGCCCTCTTGGGACTGCTCTGAGGAGCTCAAGGGATGCAGCAAGGAGCTGATTTTTGTCCCTGTTCCTTGCCATATGTAGAGAAAGAAGGATAACAACTCTCAGCTTTCTTGCCTTTTTGGAATATTGTCTCACAGTTCTCTTTCATGTAGGAATACTTATTCTTTTTTGAGCCAAGGCTCTTTTGGGTCTTTTTTACTTTAATGCTGGAAATCCAAAACAATGAGAGGAGCATACAATCACGTAATTTGTTGTCATTTCCCTTAGAATGAATGATTTTTAAACCCAGGAAAAGCTGCTATTTCTTTTATATCATTTACACTATAGTATTAGCTTAATTTGTTTGTTACGTTTGTTAACAATTTATGTCATGGCAAATACTATGTCACTACAATGTCACACACATAGTGCAAAGCTACATATAATATGAAGAAGAAATCTTCTCATCCCTTGCCTCAAATGTTCTTTTATTGGAGATGCACACATCAAATTAAATACCTGTAATACTAAAGATAGTTATCTTTCTTAAAATTACTTACGAGTTGTTTTCCTTTGTCCCGTCTCAGTCTACAGGTGTATGAGCAAGAATTCTCTGAAAAATGGTAGTATTAAATACCAATTTTAATTCTTATTGCAATTAATGTTGAAATCATGTTGTAGGTAGCCGTAGCCAAATCACTAGAGTAAAATTTTGAACATTTCTTCTTGTATGCCAGTTTGTGAAAAAAGAAAAAAATCTTTTCATGTTGTAAAATACATTTTCCTCTTTTATATTCTGCTATTTTTATCAACAAGTTGCATGTTGGAAGCACTTCCTCCTGTTTCATGTTTTACTTTTAATTTGGTACGTTGTTTGAATCTGAAACTTCAAATATTTACATGGTATATTATCCGAAAATGGTATCAGTTAGGAAAAAGTAGAGATTTAAGTAACACGATGTTTTTAAAGCAGCGTAAGGGCTTCATAGGAACTGTTTACCATTTACAAAGGCTAGGCTGTAATCTAACAGTTGAAGTGAAGATTTAGCTTGCCGTGTGACCAATTATGCCATTTTTTTCTTTGTCTGACTGCTAGTGAAGTAGGGTCCATCAGTTGTAATGAGACCCAGTGCAGTGTCGATGCCGACTTGATGGCAGAGTTCAGTGTTTCACACTGCCTGGGCTCTGTCACTCTATTGAATTAGATTGATGATGGCAGATTGCAGGGGGCACTAACTGGACCTCAGTGGGAAAGGATGAAGTGTGTAGTCAATCCTGGCAGGCACTGTGCTTTGAGGACCCTTCACCCCCTCACAGCTGTTGGCACTAGTCCATTGCTAACAGTGTCCACAGGACTTTAAAGAGACACTATGGGCCTTCTAATTTATGGTCGTAGTAACTTGTTACTGTCGAGGCAACTGTGACCTCAATTCTCTTATTGACAAAAAGATGAAGTGCTATTTGTTTTCTCTGACCTTTTAACATATGAAAGGCTATAAAAGTTTTTGTTGCTTTTTTTTTTCTTCCTTTCTTTCTTTCTGTGCCCAAAGTTGCATTTCCTCTTAGATAAGTTTCTACTGACGCAGACTTTTATATGCAGGAATCATCACACCAAGACAAGCTCAATGATAAGATGTATCACTGCAGTGAAATAGCTGTATCAGTCATTTCTAAAATGCTTCTGATCCCACTCTTTCTTAACAGCTTTCTAAAGAACGCGAACGTCTTCAAGCAATGATGACCCACTTGCACATGCGACCCTCGGAGCCCAAGCCATCTCCAAAACCTGTAAGTGCATATTGCTTTATAAACAGTAAATAGGTCTACGAATGTAGCAGGCTAAGAAAATGAACAATTTAGTGACAGTTGGAAAACAATGAGTGTGATGAAAAATACGGCAATAAAATGAAGGTAAAATGCAATATCTTGCCAAATTGTATGTTTCTTTAAAAGTAATGCTATCTTTTGCAAAATCTATCCAATCTACACCATAGGTGACACTAAACAAAGTACACCTATAAGTGTCCAAATCATTGCCTTGAAACTGAAACTAGAGAGAATATCTTTTTGTGATGGGTTTAGAGATATTAAAAGGAAATCCACTTTGAAAGATTTGAAGTTCATTGACAGTAAGAAGTAAATTTAACATGAATCTAGGTACTTACAAAATTTCAAAAATTGCTTACAAAAGACACAAGTAAACAATTTGTTATTCTTAAATGAACAAAAATGTTATTTTATGCAGTGAATTGAGATAATTGTAAACACAGGGGGTGG